GTTGGCACTGCAAGGATACTCTCAGCAAGGACACTTGGTGGCTCGGCACTGCAGGGATACTTGGCGGGGTGGAGCACTGCATGAATACTCCAGGCAACGGGCGAGGACAACATTGACTTTAAAATCTAACAACCCCACTGTGAGCGTGGGGAACAATATTCAAACTAGAAAGGACCCTCACCAGCAGAGCTTCCTATCATCGTAACCACCCAAGGCAGTTCGCCTGTACAGAGAGGCTGACAATCTTGACACGCCGCCGAAAGTAGGACCTCGAGGAACCCATCAGGATTCTTGACGGAACAACCCATCTTCACATTCCCAAACCAAACGCAACTCCCAATCACTTAAATCCACTCATACACGTGAATCATGTGATCCCCCGCCACAGTGCTGCTACCAGGGGTACTGGCATGCAGGTACACGGTCAGCGCTTGCAGGACTACAAAACAAAAGGGATCCAAAAACACTCTTGTTCGAACTTCCTGTGCTCTGCCCAGCCACTCGAGGCGCAGAAACTGCAGTACCTTGAGGAGCCTCAGAATGAGGGGCAACATCCCATGCAAAATGATGCCTGTTGGCCTGGGCTGTCCTGCCTCACATTTCCTCGGCAGCTGAACTCCCGTCTGCTTTGTAAAATCAATGACTATTCGTTATAAGCAGCCATCTTCCGCAGCCGATGCATGGCGTGTTCACCTCAGATGGTGGCTGGTAACTGCGATTTTGGGACAAAAGCACCATGTACCCCAGCAGCGGAATGGCACATCTTTGCGCTTTCCCCATCTTACCCTGACCCCCGTTTCTGTACATGGGCTACCCTCACCCCTGATGAGGCAAGTGCTGCGCCCCATAGCCCAAGCGTTGTCAGATTCATGGTCGGTACTGCAAGGTCCAGGATGCTAACCATCAGGGCCCCAAATTTTGCGACCCATTTCCGCCCCCCTCCTTTCTTCTGCGTTTTTGCTGATGTGTTCACTAGTCCGAGAAGTGAAAATAAATGCAGATGAGAAAAGGAGCTCGGTTTTAGAGGTAGTTGCAGAAAGAAGTCTCTGCATCCCTCGCCTCCCCCCAACCCCTCCCCCCGGCACCCCCCCCACCTCCTGGTACCCTCCAGGGCGCGTCCCCTTTGTGTTGCATTTGCAAGTTTTGCAGTTCCTGATGAGATTGGATACGGCCATACGCACAACAGCTGTCATGTGCTGCTGGAGCATGCCCGCCTTCCGGAGGAAGGCAGTGGTTCCAGGTGCATGGTCTAAGCAAATGTGACTGTCGCCCTGGACAGCCACAAAATGCACGAATGCCTTGGCTTGACTCTCGGTTCACAACTCTCTATTGAGCTTGCCGAGAACCCTGGCATGGCCCACGGCCTACATGCAACTTCTTCTCATGAGAACACGCCGTTCGAGCACAAGGCCACATTTCACATAAGCAGGGCCATTGTGTCCGGGGACATGGTCAGTTAGCTGACACAGACATGAAAGAGTTCTTGAGGCCTGGTAAAGGTCTTCGCAGTCAACAATTTGTTCTGAGGCAAGTTGCAGGACATTCGATGCGCCTGGATCCCCACAAGCGGTGCCAAAGCTGCACCAGTCTGCTCATGACCTTCTAGACGACTTTCTAGAAGAATGTGCAGAAACAAATCACATTCGCTTGCTGCTGGGTCTGGAGCAGCATTGATAAGGCGATCAAAGTAAGATATCAACAGTGTGCTCGGCACCTGAGTATACAAAGCTTCCAGTGATGCGATTGCAAAGGCTATGCAGTGTGCAGCCAGCGTGCTGCAAAAAAAGCAGCCCAGCATAAAGGAGTGATAGTTTCACGCAGATTCCTCACAGGGACATTCCCATCCCCTTGTGCAACACTGGCTCAGGAAATGCGGTCACATCCTGTGCTCGAACTAGGTCTTGCATGGCATCCGCAACAATTCGAATATGATGCGCATGTTGTGCAACCCATGCTCCTCGTTATGAACACAAAGACTCCGAAGCAAACAATAAGCATAAAGGCAACCTGGCGCGGGACACTACGAAACCAATATTCCACTGCATGAAGGTGCACGGAGGATCTCAAGAACCTTGCAGCATCTAGCAAGCTGTACTTAACAGCCAGAGCACAAAGGCGGCATTCCGCTGGAAATCTTCCAGGCCGCGCGTGGCGGCAAACGTGCCTCCAGAACTGTGTGGTAGCAGGACACACCTCACAAACGCCAATCGTCCCAAGCCGCAGGCCGTTCATGTCAACTCAACCTGGCTCTCCAGGTCTGCCATACATGCAGAGACCCCTGGAGTCTCTGCAAAGAAACTGGATTAGCTATGTCTTGTCTTTTTGCTGGAATTCCGTTGTGTCTGCTGTAACAATATAAAACAGCTGCGGCATGGCACGTGCAACAAGAAGCCTCCTAAAACAGGCAGAAACAATGTGGAAGTTTGACTAGGTTCCAGTTCAGCCAATGAGGCGAAACTTGTATCGACCATTGTTGAGGATGGAGGCCCGCGACTGATCAGCACAAGTAAGAGCTGGTACTCTAGATGTGGTGGGCACCTGCCGTGTCTCCAACCATGGCACAGGTTCTGCACTGGCTCCGCATCTGTAGTGAACTGGTTTCCCCGGATAACGAGATGCGTGTCTTCCCACGTTAATCATGGGCCAACAAGAGGATGTTTCAGGTGGACATTGATTGAAATGCACCTTTTCAAAAGCTTTGTCGCTACAAGGTCAAGGCAAGGGTGGGGGATCTTGCACAAGACTTGAGCTCTTCGAAACATGAGATCAAGTGATCAAAATTGCTAGGTGGACCCGTTACCAGTAGCTGGCGTAAGAGAAACCCACGAACACTCCCGCAGCTCCTTTCGTGACTTAGGAGATTTTATGCGGATTGAAGCAAATGACTTGCTCATCATGGCTGGTTTGAATATGGTCGTGCCCAGAATTTTTAGAGCCCACATGAAAACCTCAGGCAACCAATTGCAAAAGCGTCTCCCAGCTGCAAGCCTATGAAAATACCAAATCTAGGGCATACTCATATGATTTACCCAATAAGGAGACAACGCCAGCCAATGCAGCAGGGCACCGAAGTCGCTGAGAGCAACTTTGCAGCCTTGGTCCCTGAGATCACGAGTTGTGATCAAGAAGTTGTCCCCCTGGGCAGAACAGCCCACTTGACGGGGGTTGAAAACGAGTTCAGACCATGCCAAGCTGATCCGGAAAGGACAATCCCTGCATTTCTCTTCTCTTGTTTCGATACATGAGAATCATGCAATTGGATCACAACAGTCAAGATACTATTAACTTAATTCAATACCTCCACCAACCTTCTGACGGCTTTAGCCGGTCCATAGCAAGTTGACTTGACCTAGCTCGGTGCCGGAGCTAAACAGCGTTACGCCTTCTTCGACATGCTTGCTCGAAGTAAGGATAACGGGAATGGAATTGGGGCTTCAAATTTCACAGTAGCTCGTGCGGTGCAAAAGACAGGGCTCACAAGCTATGCCTTGATGTCTCGGTGGGCGATGTGTCGTCCATGGAGATACTTGATGGAGGCGACCATCTGCAATACGATCATAGAAAATTGTAAACGGAAAATCGCGGAAGTAGAAAAAACAATCAGAAGAGCAAGTTCATGTTTGCCTGATAGCTGATGTGGATGATGTCTCTGGGATTGATCTTGCCGTGTTCCTGCGATCTGCAAACGCTTTCTGCGTCCATGCGAACTGAAAGCTCAGCTGCATATGCACTGCAGTGTGCCTTCATGTGAGACTGCATTCCATCGACAAGGTCTCCTGGCCCACAGCAAATTGCACTGGTCTCAAGAATGCTCCAAACAGCCCCCAGCGGCTCTGCCAAGCAGCGCAGTCAACAAGCTCTTCCGCTTCGTCCTCCACCATACTTGTCCATGACAATGCAAACGAAGCACCTGCATCTTTCAGAGGCAACTCCAGAAAAGCACGAGCCACAGCATTGCCCTGCAGCTCCAGCTAGCTTCAAGAAAGTGCGCAGTGTCACGCAATCGGTCAGGTCCGTGGTGTTCGAAGGGGATTATAATGACTCAAGGCTTTCTGCAAAGCACCTGAACAAAAAAAGGGCCGAGATCAAAAATGACAAGAGAACCGACTGAAGAGTGAAGGCGCTGACAAGTTATTGCCAACATTTATCAGGATTCGAGTAGCTCGACCTCTGTCTGTCAATAGTCCTGCCTTATGTTGCTGCATTTTGCTGCAGCGCTCCCCCAGCGAGGAGTCCGTGCATACAACCCCACCTCTGAGGCGCCAAGAGAAGAAAAGTGGTAGCGGCAAGGAATCAATGAATCGAGTCAAACAGATTCCGACGAGACCGAATCTCATAGCGAATGTGACGTAGTAGAGTTGGATGCAAGTGCTGGTGCCTGCTGTTTTGGGATCACTGGCAATCACTGACTCCGTCCTCTGACAACGGATAGGCTGAAGACAACAGATCCCCCCGTGCAGTATACCAACATGCGCATACCTACATATACAACATGATGAGGTCCGTTCATGTTTCGACTGGCCTCTCGAAGTACACGGCATGGAATTGAACGATGTTGTCATGCGAGAGGGACTGGCAAGGACGATGAGCGCACTCTGCATGCTAGGTAGAGCCAGTGTGCTGACGACGAGGCGGCACTGCAAACAGCCTTCATCAGCTCTGCTTCTCTTCGTATGACTGCAGGTGGCGTCTCAACCTCGACAGACCAAATTTCACAACGCAGGCACACCAACAAAAAGTTCGCAAATCCCGGACCTTGTCCACCATCTTCACAGCTGCCTGCCATGAGTTGCAAGGCTCAGGCCTAACAGAAGCCTCCGCATGAAATAGCACAGACTTATCTTGCTGTATTCCACGGCACCTGCATCCCCGTCTTGCGGTGAGCACATGCCTGCTAAAAAACGGCTTGACCAAAGAGAGGCAAAGAGAGGGAATCATGTTGAGGTAGTGACTCCTGCTCTGTTGATAAGGTCCCCGCATACACTACCCCAAAGGCACCCTCACCAATAGCTTCTCCAACAGAGTACTCCTGATGACGGCAAATGGAGAGAACGAGCAAGTACTCAAGGCAACCATCGTGAACTCCTCCAGAAGGCGCTTGCCACTCGCCCTCAGAAAAAGCTTGGCAAACTGAATGAACCCCAAAGTCTGCCACCATGGTGCGCGGCGGCCACACCACGGGAGGATTGCTTGAGAGGCGAGGCCAAAGAAGGGTATGCAGTCAGGCTTTAGCACCGGAGTGCAAGGGGACGGGAAAGGTGGATGCCAGAGGAAGCACCAAACTTTTTAAGGGGCCTGGAAAAGCCGTGCAAAACCTGGCCATTTCCACTCCATTTTCCCCTCGGCTTTCCACCCTACAGTATCAATTTCCAGCAACGGTGCATTCCGCTTCCCACGCTCCATTTTACTGTCCTGTCCACTTCCCTCCACTTTCCTCAACCTGAACTCAGGAAAAGTGAAAGCCGCCACTCTCCACTCGCCCTTCCACTCGACCCTCAATTCCACTTCTAAACCACTTACAGAGCCTTGATGCAACCACAGGCAGCGCTTCAAGAAATAAAGAGGTTGCATGCAGCGACCAAGCATCATGTTTCTCATAGCATGACCACACAAGGGTGTTGAACACTCCCAAAAAAAGGGAGCTTCGAAGCATGATGCTAGTAGCTGCATGATGAACATGAAGGATACACAAGGAGTCAGGGGATGTTGATGCAACAACCATGCACGATTACATAGTATCAGTCCCCTGCTCAACAAGTCCACTAGTTTCCTGTGGAAGAATGACATTCGCTCCCCCCCCCGCCCCTCATGCTGTGATGTATGACCATGATTCTTCTCTCTCCAAACCTCGAGTCTCCAGTATTCTTGACTGAAACTGATGCTGGAGCAAGAATGAACTCAAGCCTATCTCCGCTAGCTTTCGTGATTCAACAGACTCGTCTGCCCATGCCTTGTGAAGCTCATCCAGAGCTTATGTATGGGAGCCCTTTTTTTTGGAAGCCCCCTTGATGCCCGCACAACCCTAACCAACAATATGTAGATACACATCCAAACCAACAGCTGGCAGAGTGCCCGTTTGCTTTAATGAGATTCTTTGCTGCTTCGCGATACTTCTGGCCCCGCAGCTCCATGGAGACTCACGACACTCTCAGCCTGTGCCACTTGGCTTAGAAGATGACTCAACGGCTAGGTCACCGGCAGCTCTTCCTCAACGCTCGCACCATGGATGCATTGGCCAGGCAGGTCTCCCTGGCATCTGTGAGCTTGTCAATACGCGCAAAGCCTGTAAAAAGCCCAGGCCTGCTTGGCTGGAGCTTCCTTGTGGGAGAGCGTGAAGCCCATTCTGCAAACAGCTCTATTGGCAGGAACTGTGCTCAGATCTTCAAGCAATGTCTGTGCCTTATGCCCTGAAGTACGGACCCAGCACTCGCAGCTGCACTGTTGATGCTTTTCAGCATAACACCTGCTCCAGATCCATTGGCAGTTTGGACATGACTTCATCGAGCCCGGTCGCGTGCCTGGTGTCTCAAGGAAACTTCTGCCCGGCACTGCATCCCGAACTCGGGATCCTCCAGCTTGTACAGTTTTGCCATGCATGTGGCTGCATTAGGATGACCACCTTGCGGGCCATGACTCCATGGGAACCCGGCCTGTCAACGCAAAAACACACACGCAACTTCTACCGAATCGCAATTCTAGTGACACATTACCACCTGGTGCTGAGAACAAGGCAGGACAGCAAAACAGCACCAAAGCCGGTGATGCTAAAGGTTCTTCGAGCACGATGTTATTTGCAGAGCTTGTGGGGCTGCACCCTGTTGCCAGGTAAAAACGTGCAGGACATCTGTTACATGCTAGCACTCAACAGCAGTGTCAATTGGCTAGTATTCCCCAAACTGCCAGGAAGTGTCCCTCAGCTTGAGCACAAACGTGGCTAATCGTTGTTGCTGGTTGCATCAGGAATTTCAACACATGGGGTTTGTCAAAACAGGGAGGGATGACAGGTACCCTAGTGGGAGATGGGAAAGAGATTCTGCACAGAGGCATCTTGAGCAACTCTCGCGTTGCCAAAATGGCACTTGCGTTCGTACCATCTGCAGTTTTCTGCCTCTTTCACGGCAAGGTCCCCCCGGCAGCAAGCCGCCATGCAGAAATAAACAACCCTTCTCTCCAGGGCACGTACTAGCAATGCAAGGGCACGAACTCTCTGAGTTCAGCCTCAACTTCAATTTAACTGTTCAATCACTACATGTCATGAGGCAAGGCCTTGGAGCCAAACACCACGAGTTCCGTAGGCAGGAGAGCTAGAGCTACATGATCGAAGAACTTCAAAGTCAGTGTCCCGCACAGGGACCAAAGAAGCTCCACATCTGATGCATGTCACGAATAAAGATTGACAATATGTTTGTCAAAGACTTCGTGTCACGGCGCAGCTTCTTGCGGAGCAGTTGCCGTCCAACAGCTAATTTCATTCATCGTCTGACCTCACTGCATACAAGAAGGCTTGGCGCAAAAAGTACATGTTCTGAGACAGCGGCACCACGATTTCCAAGTTGCTAGGTAACCTGCTTCACGCACGGTGAGTTGCTGCGAAATCTTCAAGCGTAATGCGAAGTGCTCTGTCTGAGAATGCCTAACAAAGATTGGGCCCATGGCACGAAAGGGCGCGCTTGTGGCACATTGCAGCCTGTCATATTACAACTCCAGAGACCCAGGCTTGACCCTTGCATTGCGCATGAATCATCCCTGTGAGCATCTTCAAGCCCCAGATGCTTTTGAATTTGAAGTGGAATATGTTGCCCACGTCATCCAATAAGCCCGCTTGTTCCACTGAACTCAATCAGCACGCAACACTCCTTGATCTAAACGCTCGTTCGCGAGAATCTGTGTGCTTTCGAAGCAAAACTCTGAGTGCATGTTTGACGTACAACATCTTCACAACAGAGCGGTGAACCTTTCCCATCTGACTTGTGGCACAGTGAGTGCGCGTCAAGGCCGAGCGCCCTCTGCGCGGTGAACAGTGGGCCCATGATCACGTTCCAATGGACCAAAAAAGGAAACCAAATGTTGCCACATCCGAAATCATTCCGAAATGTTCAAATTGGGCTGGGTCATTAGTGGCTGGGAAATATCAAGCAAATTGCTATCTCTATGCACAGAGCTTGTGGATAAGGCTGGGCCACACGTGTCCAGGGCACTCGTCGTGGATTGCTGCCGGTCAAATGTAAAGGCTTCCGGTGAATGCGATTGCGAATAAGCCCGGGACAAAGCGTTGCAGCCAAAAAGTATCCTCAGAGTCCAACAGGGTGCGCTTATGCCATGGCGTATGAAAGTGGAAGCTCAGTCCGGACAGGTCGCGCATGGGCCAACGATTTTCCAACTGACCCCGCCAAGCAGCACTTTTTCGGCCACAGCCTTCTTCTCCAAAAGACTGAACCCTTGACAACGAGCTTCTGCTGCCTCCGTCGTGCCTGTCCCTGGCCTTGGCTGTCTCTACCACTGACCTCGTCTGCCCGTTGATGCGCCCCGGGCAGCTTGAGCCGGCATCGCCCCAGCAGTGATCAACTTCACAGCGAAGTCCGGGATTGACGGCCATTGTTTTTTGGAACTTGGCACTTTGCTGGCGGCTGGATGTGACGCTCACGTCCGCTCTCACCGGCCATGATTGGGCTTGCATTCGACGGGGAGTTTGAGCACCCTCACCCTCTTCCCTGCCAGTGGATGATTGATGGGGACGCAACCGGTCAAGGTCTTAGAGAAACCTCAACTTTCACAAAGGGCAAAGCAAGGGACATGATGTCGACAAGCCATATGTTCTGTCATCCGACGTTTCGGAAGAAGGATTTTGCGTCTTTCCGGCGAAGGACGTTGCCGAGGTGGGGAGGGTTTCTGAGAGAAGCAGGTTCCGACGGGACTCAGGTCACAGTGCCAGACACTCTGCGCTTACGGCAGCAGGATTGTGCAAAAATGAGGTTGACGGAGACTGGATCGCCGTTGACCTTCCTAACCCAACGTACTTGGAGGCCGCTGGTTGGAACTGGATTTCCGGAAGTGCCAGCGCCTTGGTCAAATCCTTTGCCAACGCCGCTAATCTCAGACATTCCCCCCAGGTTGAACACAAACTGCCCGGCATGGGATACACCAGATCACTTCCCTTCAAGAGATGGCTGCCAGAGGTCCGGCTTCCGAATCCGACACGGCGAGCCTCGATGGGCAGGAAGCACAAATACCTGTCAAGCCAATCGGGCTGACGAATCTTACAAAAGGCGTCCTTGACAGCGGGCAACTCTATGCGCTCGCAAGACTGCTCAGCACTAGCCGCTCCATCTGCGTAAGCCTCGGCCCCTCATCCAAAACGGGCGAAGACGTCGACAATGCAAAGACTCCACAGGCAACTCTACAGCAACGGTTGGCGGCACGGCCATCAACGACCACGAGGGCCCGCTGCCTTCCTGATTTCCAAATCAAGAAAACACCGGCATGCTCCTTGGGGTACAGTGTGCACTTGAGATACTGGATCTAATCAAGGCGCTGCACAAATTTCTTGTAATTTCGGACGCTAAACCTCAAAGATGGATTGCAATGGGGCCGGAACGAAGGATTTGGAGGATTGCTGGCTACGACCGCGCGCTCTTACTCCTCCAGATAAAAACAATCATTCCCTGAAAAAAAAAAAGACATAGCCTCAGCCCTATCAGCCAATCACGTAGGCAGGGAGATGAGGTCTAATTGTAAACGCTATCGCGCCCGCCTCGGCTGGCGGGGCGCGGAGCACACGAATAGGTCATGGTATGCAGTTGACACGCGGAGGTTAGGGTCGAGGGAGTAACGGAGGCAAGCCTCACTTCAAACGTGTTTGTTGCATGCCTGTTCCAGCATTGTTGCAGGAGGTCGGCTGGGCTCAGTTCATCAGCCTTTAATGACAGAGTTCGCAAGGTTCGAAGCCTGGGGCAAGGCTGGAATTTCACGTGGGATGGTCAGGCTGCACAGGCCACCCACCATGGAAGGGGGGGGGGTTACGTGCCTTGGAGCCTTCCAGTGTCCATCACACGGGGGGGTTACCACGGATGGGTGAGGCCTGCAAAATGGGGAGTAGTCGGCGAATTTGTAGGAATCAGAATTGTAGTCCCAACTGGAGCAGCTCCTTCAGATACCTACGCCTATCTTCATTTTCGACCCCCGCCCCCATTTATACATTTTTGCTGGGGCATATATGCGGAATTGGAAATGTATACTGGGGGGGGTGAACGGGGTTCAGGGTCAGCTACAACTTGCCTTGAATCAACCAGTTGAGACTCGTAACCACCTCAAAAAAAGAAACAACGGCCTCTACAAATTTTACCGCGCAGGCCATTACCTGGATTAAGTTTTTTTTTGCTGGCCGTAGATAAT